AGCCCAGCAACACACTATGATAAACACACACAAACATTCTCTCACTGGCCCAACGATAATAAACACATTGCAATAAACACACACACACACACACACACATACACATACACACAGCTTGCATTCCAGTAATCCCCCAACTCCATATACACACACAACAGTATCTCCCAACCACACAACAAACACAATTACTTGCTATCTCCTCCTAGCACGCACACAGACACACACGTGCAGTATCTCTACTCAGACCACACACACACTCAGTCAGTCACTCACTCACCAGAGCTGAGCAGATTGTGTTTCATAGTATGGTCCATCAGCAGCAGACACTCTGTGTTTGTCCTCATGACCATCACCTGAAACACATATAATAGGGTCTCACATAGATATTTACACACTTAGGCTGATGATACACGGGGCAACTTTTTGAGCAATGTTGCCATCAACAGGCAACCAGCTGAGACACAGGGACCACGACCGATCTAAATGATCTAGATAGAAATTTGTTACCCATTCTCAATGGAAAAGTGCCCAAACAACATTGCTCAAAAAAAGTTGCCCAGCAAAACTGCTCAAAAAGTTGCCCCATGTATCATTAGGCTTACAATGATCTCTGAAACATACACATGTATAAGTGCTCAAATGATAAGTCATGGTGTTTACTTCAATGAGTTATGGCACATTCGCACTTACACTGATTAAATCAATGGATGTTGGCAAGCAGGAATTCCTGCTTGACTAGAGTACTTAAGAAGACTGATCATGTGACCAACTAAATTAGAGCATTCTGGGAAATGAAGTGTTCTTTCATCTTACATAAATAATTATGTATATATATTAAAGATATTTATATATAAAGATTTTCAAAATGCATTAAATCTATTATTTAATACTAAAATATTTAATGTAATTAAAATTTTTTAATTACAATTCTTTATGATTCTGTGTGCTTTAATTCAAAAAGGCACTGAAATGGAATTCAACTGGAAGTCTCAATTCTAAAGACCCTACTGCCCTCCTTTTGGTAGCTTCTGCATCGTGGAATAGGCATAAACACTTATCAGTTGCTCAGATTGGCTCAAATTGCCTACTCTTATTGAAAATGAACTTCCTCTGGTCACTTTGTCATCAGTGTCAACACCACTTTAGACTGGCTCCTGATATTTGCAGTTCTTCCCTTTTTGATCATTTTCAGTTTTCTTTATTCTTATGTATCAGTTAAAGTAACAAAAAGGCTAAAAACACACACTTCACCTTTCTCTGGTCCATAGCTGTTCTCTGACATGCTCTCCTCTTCATCCTCTGTAGCAAAGACTCTGTCGCACACCTTTACTGGTGTCCCTTTCCTTTTCCTTCCACAGCCACGTCTATGAAACACACACACACAAACACAAATTACATTAAATGGACAGCCTGACCAACTTAATCAGCAACAAAACATAAATCACAAAGACAAATCAATAACCTGGACCCGTCAGTGGATCAATGGAAATCACAGCACAAATCTTGTTCAATTTTGCTTACATTTATAAACGAAAAACTTGTGGCAAGAAAAGATGTTTAATTAAGACTTGTTTAAAGCAGCTATGTTACTAAAAATAGCGCTACCTATACAATTAATCTTCTATACCTTAACTAAATGAAGCCTGTCAACTGATCTGAATCATGATGTGTCAAGCACATGAGAAATATAATGTACTGCTCATCTTAGCAAACACCACTAATTAATTCACTGCGCATTCACTCTCCTTCAAGAGGAAGAATCAGTTTGGTGGAATCTATGTGTACGGATTCTAACATAACACTGATCTAGAGCCAGTTTTACTCACAAAACTATAATCATTAAAGCTCCAACAGAGAGTAACTGACCACATATGAGTGTGTGTGTGAACTGCCGTTAATAGAGCCGTGTATGAAAGCCAAAGCTACGCTTTCCACAGATGCAACTGTGAATGCTTAATTAGACAAGTGTAGAGATGTGCAGTCTCTTGGTTGCAGATGTGTTCAGCATGTGTGTGTGTGTGTGCGCGCCTGACATATTCATTGAGCTGTGATAAGACTCAGTCTTGCCGACTGGATATTGATCTGGCCGACCCTCCATCTGGACCCAAGAGCATATGTTTGCATGTCTTTGTGTGCACGCAGGCGGGCAGATTCATGTGTTCATCCCTCCATCCACCATTTCAGGTCAGCTTTATAAAGAACTGTCATATAGATGATTACAAAGACAAGTCTGTGGAACTTAATCAGAGTAGATGGGAGTATTAAACTGATTTAAATGAAATGAGGTTGTGTATAGAAGTACGCACTCTTCGATGAGTTGTAATGCTTGTTCAGCAGATGAAACACTGAAAATGTGACTTTCTGTTTATTTACTGTGTATTACTATATTCTATTTATTGACAATTATTAAACCAATTCAAATGAAAGCCACAGTACCTAAAGACTTCCTGCTCCATTCACTTCCATTCATATGCCTAAAAATGTGAGAAAACTAAACGCACAAGCTCATCCAAAGTAATTTTGTCTTGAACTTTGGCACACGGATGACAAAACTAACCTGTGAATTTGCATAATGAAATACATTTAACCAATAGAGCAGTGGTTCTCAAGTTTTTCCAAGACTCCCCTTTGTCCGAGACAATACTCATTGGCCATCCTATTCTAGGCTGATATGTACCTCTGGTACTTTTGTTTTACAAAAAAAGTAATCTTGAAATATATGATATCAGTTTAATGTTGTAAATCTTTATTCTTAGTGTTTTTAACATTTTAATTAAATATTATTTTAATTTTCCCTCGTCCCACTTGTTGAGAATCACCTCAAATGTGTAGTCACGTTAGCAAAATTTAGGTGAAATTTTGCAGGCAAAAAAGGTCCGCTGTCTATTGTCAAGAGCATAGAGATATATGAAGCACAGCTCACACAGAATTCACAATAACCAACTCGAACATAAGTGAAATCTGTGTGGGGAAATGTGACCGCTCCGTAAACATCACAGATTAACCTCTTGGCTGAATTTAAAGAACACACAAGCGATGTGTCCAATGAGGCTAGTGACATTTCAGTCATCGGGCCCAAAACTCTCTTACTCTAGCCTCGGGCCATGGCACCGTCCTTATTGTCGAACCCTAACACACATGCTCGTTTTCTCTTCTTTTATTGCAATTCAGTGGTTTACCGGTGCGTTTCCAAAGTCGACTGTGAGAACATCTTCTACAAGTTCCACTGAGGTCCATTTGAATAACAGTCAGTGTTTTCTGTGGACATACTCCTGTCCAGCCTGTCAGTAAATCTGATTACACACACTTGTGTAACTCATTCTCCAAGTCAATACACTGCAAAACGGACATGCTTTTAATCCCTCCTCGTTCCACAAGCCAAAATCTGTTTCCTTTTCGTTCATTTGTGTATCTCGACTTGTTTATCTCTTTTTTCCTCTTTCCCTCACGTACACACACGCAAAATCCCATTCCACTCAAAACAAAAACAACACACAAACAAGTCCAATCAGAAATCCACATGTGCAAGCAGAAAGACACACATGTGCACAAGAACACATAAACACACACCTCTCTTTATAAGTCCACAACTACACAAACACACACACACACACACACACACACACACCATCCCCCCAGTAGGACACACATGTATGTGTTCACGCACATGCAAACACACCCTACCCTTTAAAAGCCTTCGTACACATATACGCTCACACACAAATATCCTCTCTTCAGCTGAGCTCACATGCACGCACACACTCACCCCTCCTCCATCTCAAGCTCACATGCACACACACGCACTCACACACACACACACGCGCACACACACACGCGCACGCACACACACGCGCGCGCACACACACACACACACGCGCGCGCACACACACACACACACACACAAACCATCCCCC